CAAAGATTTCAGTTCGGCATCGACCGCACTCCAGTGGGGGGTACCGCAGGGGTCCATCCTCGGTCCCCTTCTCTTTTCTTTATACCTGCTGCCACTAGGTGCTATCTTCCGCAAACACGACATACCCTTTCATTTCTACGCCAATGATTGCCAAATTTACTTCCCCCTGAGGCACAGAGGCACACGCTCTATTCAGCCTCTTCTTGACTGCCTGGCTGACATCCGGGACTGGATGGCTTTAAACTTCTTAAGCTTCAATGAGAAGAAGTCTGAAGTCATGCTCTTCCATCCCAGTGGCTCACTCATGAACCATGACATTGACCTTTTCTCTCTAGCCCCGCTAGAGAAACAAAAGGTCACTAATCTGGGGGTGATAATGGACCCGTCCTTAAAACTCAACAGTCACGTAAACATGATGGTAAAATCCTGTTTTTTTCAGCTGAGACGGCTGTCTAAGCTGAAGCCTATACTCTCCAAAAAGAACCTTGAGACAGTGATCCACGCCTTCATAACATCTAGGCTTGATTACTGCAATTCACTTCTGTTTGGAATCAGTCAGTCCTCCATTGCTCGTCTACAACTGGTCCAAAATGCTGCAGCCCGATTTTTAACTGGTACAGGCTATAGAGAGCACATCACGCCTGTTTTGGCCTCCCTGCACTGGCTACCCATTCACCTTCGGATCCATTTCAAAATTCTCATGTATGTTTTTAAATCACTGAACAGTTCTGCCCCATCCTATCTCACTGATCTTCTGCAGCCATATGTCCCACCGCGCTCTCTGAGGTTAGACCGGGCCAGTGATGACTTCAGCCTCTCCAGTCAGTCTTGTCGTTTGTCACCGGGGGAGTCTCTCATGCTGTCGGGTGCGGAGCTGACGTGCAGAGAAGCGGAGGACAGCGCTGTGTGGTGCTCGAGAGAAGTTCGGAGTTTGCATCAGAGTTGCTGCAGGCCTCCATCCAAACTCACCTGGATAATTATTTTTATTCCGGATCACGCTGTTGTCCCCTGTTGACCTGAAATGGGCTAGGACCATGCCTTTCATTTCAGGAAGATTTTCTGGCAGCTCGCTCTGCTGTTTGCTGCTAATTATCGGTTTCTGCCTGTTAGTTTTAGACCCAGCTTCTGTTTCTCATGGGAGCATCCATCCATCTTCACAGTGGGGACGGAGCACCCCTCAGCCCAACTCAGACTGCAGTTGGGCAACCTTGTCAGACTTGTTTGTCCATTTGATTTGTGACACTTTATGGTCTGAGACTTTTCTGCACCATTCATATTATTGCCATAATTTTCAGATCTCAGACTATCTGGAGTCACTGATTCTTAATACACCTGGATCTGCCCATCACTGCAACTTTCACTGTTTTTGGGTTCTGAATGATCGCATCTTCATTAATGTTTCTCATGGTTGAATATCCATCCATCCATCCATTATCTTTACCCGTTTATTCCATTTTGGGTCACGGGGGTCGCTGGTGCCCATGTCCAGCAATCACTGTGCGAGGGGCGGGGTACACCCTGGACAGGTCGCAAGTCCATCACAGGGCCACATAGAGACAAACGAGACAAACAACCATTCACTCTCTCACTCACACCTAGGGACAATTTTAGAGTTACCAATCAGCCTAACATGCATGTTTTTGGTCTGTGGGAGGAAACCGGAGTACCCGGAGAAAACCCACGCATGCACGGAGAGAACATGCAAACTCCACCCAGAAGGCACCTGGACCGGGGTTTGAACCAGGGACCTGTTCGCTGAGAGGCAGCAGCTCTACCAGTTGCGCCACCGTGCTGCCCCATGGTTGAATATTGGGGGCTAATTGTCACACTATTAACTCCTGTAATTACATATCAGTCACGAAAAACTCAAGAAAATGTCTGATAATAATGTTACTGTTCTCAGGGATTTAGCCCAACCTAGGACCCCCCATTAATTACAGCACACCAAATGACTTTAAAAACATGTCAGGACTTCATTTTCTGCATGTAAACGCATGTAGCCTTCTGAGAAAACTTGATGCCTTGAAAATTCTGGTCAATTCTTCTGGGGTAGATGTAATCTTCATCTCTGAAACCTGGCTCAACAAATCTGTACTGAATAGTACCAATGGATTTAACATCTACCACTGTGAAATAGATTTCTATCTGTATTATATTTTGTTATGTTACTGAAAGTTGTGTACACCTATGGTCTGCAGTATAAATGCACATTAAACCAATGCAGAACCTTTATTTCTCGGTTTTTGTTTCCAGTAGGAAGGAGTTTTAGTTACACGCCTGCACTCTGCAACAAGCCTGACACTTGATT